GGGGTGGTGGTAGCAGTGTTTACCTGTTCCTATGGGGATTTTTTCTCATTTTTTTTCTTTTCTAGGTTGGACTGCCTGGTTGGTTAGACATTTCTACATTTACTGGGCACATCGGAGAGCTGCAGTTCACCATCATGGTTTACAGCTGGGCTTTCCTCACTCCCTGGTTCGACTCCGATGATTTGGTTATCGGGGTTGGGGTTGGAATGCAAATTGTTCAGAAATTTTGGGTAAGATTGGTTTGGGGCAGGTGCCAGATATGGTAGTGCTTCACGCAGGGGGAAATGATGTGGGATTGGTGCCCCAGAGGGATTTGATTCTAGGTATTAAGAGGGACGTTGACAGGTTGAGAGAGTTAGTGCCTGAGGTTGTGGTCATTTGGTCGGAATTGGTTCCTCAATGTCATTGGCACCACGTGCAGCATCTTTCTGCGGTGGCCAAGATTAGGTGTAAAGTTAACAAGGTGATGGCTGCGTATGTCAGGCGTTTGGGCGGGGTGGTGATTAGGCATTTGGAGTTAGAAGACATGCTTCCAGGATATTACAGGCATGATGGTGTTCACCTCTCCAAAGATGGCTTGAATTTTTTATTGTTGGGTTTTCAGGAGGGCTTGCGGGGGCGGGGGAGGGGGAGGTAGCTTGAGGAGTCATGCACTGAGCTGTGGTGGCGGGGGATGGAGAGAAAAGTTAGGGGCAGGTCAAAATGATATGGGGTAAAATGTTTAGTCCAGGGAAAATAGGTAGGCCTTTGGACTGGTTTGGTAGGTTCTGGCTCGTTGGTAGATCAGAACCTGGATGTGTAGGGGTATTTCGGAATACCCCTACAATTGTGGAACTGAGAAAATGGATGACCTTGGTGTTCAATGTTAATTATATGGTGTTAAAATGTTTTGGGGATTTATTGTTTATGTAAGAGTGGGTCATTGTCGGGGGGGGGGGGTTAATTGTATAAAGGCACGATGCTTGAGTTACATGTCAATGTTGTCATGGTGTTGACAATGACCTTAAATTTTACTTGTTAAATAACTTATTTTCAATAAACGCTGTGGTAAATTTTGCCAGAAACATGGTGTCAGTGTGTTTATAGAGATTAATGTTTGGTTTTAAGCATATTCCGCAGAGACGACTATGCACATGTCAAGTTAAATCTTATTGGAAATGAGTGAAATTATTCTTCCAATTGTCAAAAAATAGATTTTCTTATAAAAGGTAGCTCTTCAGTTGGGCAAAAGATAAGTGAATGTACAACTATGATTTTTTATTGAGAAAGGAATTTCAAAATGTGGGTTAAAAGAACTAACATTACATGTTGGCTATTTTAGCCTGACTGTTGCATTTCACTTGGGACAGAGTGACCCCCTGTCCCTCCCCCCCCCCCAACAGGTACATCACATTTTGCAATGCTTGTGTCCACTGTCTGCTATTTGCTTTATAATGACTAATCTCATGTGTGCTTCATACATTGCTAAATTATCGAAACATAAAGGCAGAACAGAAATGTTGTGGTTGTAGCAGATGATTAACAAGTAAATGCTATGTTGATTTGGCCACTTAGGCCTTGATTTCAATCCAGCCATTTACCAGCAGTTTGTCAGCTCCTGATAAGCTATTGAAGCTTATTGCTTATTGATTAAAGGACCTCCATTAAAGACTTATTGGGAACGGATAAATGTCTTTTTGAATAATCAATAGTATACGTAGCATTGAAAATATTGGATCCAGTACAAAGTATAATCCTCGATAAATTACCTTAAAAAATCAACAGCAAAAATTTCTCACTAAATGCTTTTTTGAATATTTGCCTGCTGTCAGCACTAGCAGCCAGATAGTTAGAAAAAAAGGCCCATGGGGGGGTCAATATAAGCCTTACATAAGTATAAGGGAGTTTTAACAGTTCCCCCATTCCCCCACTAGCCATGCAGCAGGTGAGGGCATGTCCACTAAACTGTGAGCAACTAGTGACTGCAGTGATTCCACTGAGCAGCTATTGCATTTGATGGCTCTGTTAGTAAACGTTAATAATATAAAATAATAAAGTGGGATACGGGTGGAGGCAATTCATTAATAAATAAACAGAGGGGACTTACGGCCACCCCTATAGTCAGCAGGGAAGAGCTCTAATTAAAGTAAACAAGACAGAACTATTGTCCATCCTGCCCACACCCATAGTCAACAGCTAGGGGAGCTATAATTATAATAAATGGGGAATCTATTGTCCCCTGCAGCTACTACCCGAAGTGTGCTTCTCCCGGTACGAAGTATTATTGTTCTCGTGGTCTTTAGTTGGGCCTTTTTTGGGGCAATTCGGGTTAGCGAGTTGGTCAGTGCCCCAGAGGGATTTGATTCTAGGTATTAAGAGGGACGTTAGTAACCAAATCATTTCTTCTTTCTTTCTAAATCATATTTTCTTAATCTCCTCCAAAAAAAAAAAAAGAGCTAACGTAAGGGCTTTACCATGCTATGCAATTTCAGTCAGATTGCTCTGACTGATAGAGATGTGTTTTTTTTGTGTAACTGGGTTTTTTTGCCTTCTTTTGGATCAACAGCAAAAAACAAATGTGAGGTAGGCTGAACTTGATGGACGCAAGTCTCTTTTCAGCTATGTAACTATGTAACTATGTAACTATGTGCAAGGCTGAAAAATTTGTTTCAGTTTGTTTTGTTCCATTTCGTTAATTTTCAAATTTCTTCTTCTCCAAAATGAGTACACCCTTATTCCCATTACTCTAAAGCAGTGGCTCCCAATTAATTTTTCCAGTGGTACCCTTTGACATAGTGTATCAACATCGTGGAACTCCCCTCACCCCCCACCCACCCCCAATTTTTTTTAATAATTGAGCCATTTTTTTTGTATGTGCCTGTGTGTCAAGATGTGTGTTTCTGTGTTTGTATGTGCCAGTGTG